AATAATCTAATAATAGCTTTTAACCATACAAACCATAGAAGCAAGAAATTTATGGGCCTCTCTGGGACTCCAAATCTCAAATCTGAAACTAGAAATGTCTCCTTATAAAGCAACTTCAGGGAACATAGATGTCCATCCATCTTGCTTTGACTAATTTTTTTTGAGACCAAGTCTGCCTTTGTAGCTCAGGCTGGCTCTGAACTCACTGTGTAGCCCAGGCTGGCCCATTGCAACCCTCCTGCCTCAGCCTCCCAAGTGCTGAGATTACAGATGTGCACCACCAAGCCTGGCTTGCTTTAGCTAATTATGATATACTCTATTTTAAGGTCTATTATATGGCAATTCCAATTATGCTAAAAGATTCTCTTGTTAGAACCAAGATGCTTTTTAATTCAAGAAATGAATTGGCTAAATTTACTTCTTGTTATGTCTAGTGACTATAAATCTTTATTATATTCTGAAAATCATTATATATCAACACTGTATCCATATTGCCTTTTTCTAATAACTTTCTCCAATTTTTAATAATTTTTATTACTAAAATTTAAAAAATGATCGCAACATAGCAATTGTATTAGATCCATTACAAAGATATTTTTATAATCTTAGCACACATAGGACTCAATTTCAGTGTGTTTAACATAGTGACACTCGGGATTTCTGATATGTGATCAGTTTTCATGTAAAACAAAAGAAAAATATGGAGTAAGCGTGGATATAAAGATAATCAGCTCAATTTGTACAGAGTTTTGTGGTAAGAAAAGTAATATCGATCTTAATATCAGCAGGGGCAAAAATATCAGCACATCAGTAAATACAGAAAAAAAATATGGCTACAGCAAAGACTTATCTTAGTGGCAAAACTCATAGACTACAAAATATTATTTACATCAGAAACAAAATATGCCCTGCCTGAATGAATAAGGATCCCTCAGTTTTTAAAGGCTGTGCCTCTCATGTCTCAGGTGCTCACTTCAATTCCTGAGAGAAGCTGGTAAGAGGAGTCTGGGATCCTGAGCACAGTCAGTGCCATCTCTGCCTGGGGCGAGGATCTCAAGGGGTGGCGCTGGAGACAGTGGGAGAGTGCCAGCTCATGAACCCACAGTGTTTAATGGCCTAAAAGAGCAGACAACTCTTCTTATGTGGCTAGGAGTGTGTTAGGAGATTGAGACATTTTATGCTCTTTAAATTCGCATAGCAATGATTATTAGTTCATTTTTACTGATGCATAATAGGAGTTCAGAAAAGGTGAGTTCATTCAGCTGAAATTACAACGTTGGTGAGCATTTGAGCTGGGATTTGTACACAACTGCTTGCTTCTCAGAGTGAAAGCCCCACGTATACTCCATATGGTGCAAAGCAGCACTGAGAACTGATTTGTTTCTTTTTTTTTTAATGAGAAAACACTGTGCATTTCTTTTCCTTATCAACCTTCCAGTGAGAATGCCATGAGTGGTACGTGTAAAGCACAAAATGGACTTATTGTCAGTACAAACTGGTATCATGAGGAACATATAGATGCAGATGTCTCAATGATCTAATTTTAGGGATTTGGCTAAAGAAATTCACGGACAAATCTACTGAGCACTCAGTAGATCAAAATCATAACTCCAAATCAAAAGTGACAGCTGTACTACCAAAACCTTTCTAGAAGTAAAGCTGATGGGGACTAAATGCAGAACTTTTAACAATGTCAACGAATTACAGTAAGTGAATAAAAGAAAAGTTACACCTACAACATGTTATGCCTCCCCAATTGGTTTCTGAATTTGATGCACTATAAGGGATATGGTATATCAGTTTGCTATTTCAAAACTATTTACATTCTCTGAGTCTTTGTGCTTTTTTACAGCCCTTGTAAGTTTATTATTAAAATTTTAATTAATACGTCATTCCTTCTGAGGTGTAAATCCATTTGTTTAGGTAATAACTGGTGAAGATAAAAGCATCTTGCTGTTTTGGAAAATCAAAGATTAGAACTAAATAAAATATTAGTATCTATATTTCAAAGCTTGTAGGGCTAAGCTTTCCCCACAAAATAATTTTCAATAATCTAAATTTTTTTCTGTTGAGTCAGAATGAATTCCAGCTGAAGTGGCACTATGAATGCATACTAATCTTCCAAGTCGTACTAACCTGTTTAATCAAAGATCTATGACCTTTGGTCTAAGCACACTGCCTGCTTCCGGAGAGAAAGTTGCAAGTAGATTGCAATTAACAACATATGGTTTTGCAAGAGAATGTACTTTGTTTTTATTCTCTGGATAATGAGTTTGAAATCACTTTGTACTTTTAAAAAGGCTAAAGATAAAAGTGTCTTTGCTAACATGGCTATCTTTAAAAGTTACATGGGAATCTGCAGAACAGGAGGAATGTTGTTCTCTTATTAAAAAAACTTTGCTAAAATACTGTTTTCTTTTCTGCACATACTTGTAGGAAATCTGAGACTTGAAATATATACATTTCACGTGATGTTTAACAATAGGATGGCCCAAATAATACTTCGAGAAGACAGAGTCAAGTGGTGGATGCTAAGAAAACTTTGCCACTTATACCATGTGCTCATGATCAAGAACCCTGTGATGTCACTACTTGTGACAATGTGTCATTTCATAGACACCTGAGGTTGCCGTTCTGAGATTTGAAATATGAAAGCATAGCAGAGAAATGTATCCCAAAATTGAATAAACTAGAGCTCTGAGAAACAAAAGCATAGAGTATTTTTTCATTTTGTTTGGTATTGTCATAAACTTTTAAATGTAATTTCTCCTCTACCCCTTCCCTTAGAAGCTGATACAGAAATTCAGTGACAGCTTTATGAATGATTTTTAACAATCATGATAGACATTCTCCAATTGTCTAACACTGTCCTGCTCATTTCCACATAATTATTTATGATTTTCAACATTCCCAACAACTTTCTACCAAAGTGTAGTTTAGAACCAACCGACAATAGAACTACTTAAAATGATTGCTAAAATCTACATTCCCAAGAGCGTGGCAAGACAGTAATGGGTCTGAGATCACCTCAACTCACCAATTTAATGAGATCTTGTCTAAAATAAAAAGGGCTGAGGATATAACTCAGTGGTAGAGAGCTCCTGAGCTTCACTCCCAATACTGAAAAAAATAAATAAAAGGAAAAAAGGAAAGAAGGAACAAAAAAATCCAAATTCATGGGCCCATACAAACTTACTTAATTAGAGTATCTAATTTGGGGCTATTGAAATATGCATAGTTTAGAAGTACTGAAAAAAATACCAAAATACCACAGTAAAAACCAATGATGGCTATTCCTGGAGCAAAACCTGTTGCCCTTGAGAACAACCCCTCCATCAAAAGTTGACTACGAGAATCTCCATGTACATATACACATGCACACCCACATAATCTTTATACTCTGTTTCATTTGAAATTTTACGGGAATCAATTTGCTACAAATCAGGTTGTTTTGTCAAATTGGGATGGAAATCTAGAATTGGCATCATGCTGCTCCGTTGAGCTTAGTGACTCCAGGCTTTCACTGCAGTGACTCTCAGCCCTTAGTGCCATGGCTCTGAGCTGTGAGTGCCAGCCCCTCTTAACTCCCAGTGGTGTTCTTGGTATCATAGCTCTTAATGTTACAGTTCCCAGTGGCTTCTAGTCATCCCATCACCTCCAGCACACCCACAGCCTTTAGGCCCCTTTACAGCTTTTCGGATCCCACTAGCAAGGTTTGCTGCCTTCCTGGCTCCTCCACTGCTGGCACCTCTGGGACAAGCTGCCTTGGCAGCCCACCTCACCTCTTAGCCCTTTTATTCTTCCTTGGCCAATGGTCTCACACTTTAGGCATCTGCCTTGCCTTGGCTGATAGGCTTGTAGCTGCTTCTAGACTTTGGCCTAAGCTTGGGCCTTCACTGATGGCTTCTGGCCTTGGGTTTCTCAGGGGTTTCAGTCCCACCCTTTGCTCATTGGCCCCAGGCCTCACTCAACACAGGTCTTCAGTCTCCACTGCCTTCTGCTGTCTACTCCCACCCCCTAAGTCTTTGAGGTTCATAACCTCTAGCGTTAGCAAGCGCTTTTAGTGCAGTCTGTTCAGCCCACTCTACCTGAACAGGGAATAGGACTGCCTGAGTGAGATTTTCATCATCCCCTGTGCTTCAGCACAGGTACTGTGCTAGAGGGAGCCCCCTTTACTGACTGAAGGGGGGCTGTGGGAGCAGAGTAATACAGGGAGCAGGGTAAAGCCACTTTAAGTGGTCATAGTCAAGGCCTATGGAACAGGTCAGCATTTCAAGGTTATGGCACCCAAGGCCATAACTTCTACAGCAGATGTAGGGCATATAGGACAGGCTTAGCTGTCATGGGGAAAGCTCTGCACAAAGCTACTGAGCTTCCTCAGAAATAATTATGGCTGGTGTTACTTTTCTGGCATCTCCGGGTGGGACTGTTGTATTAATCAGTGGTACCTGGTGTTAAAAGGACCCTGGAGAATACCAGATATGGGCTATGGTGCCTCCTCAGTCTTTGTGGTCAGGTACAATTTTCCATTGCTCCTCAGAGAGATAGCAGTAGTGGCTGTATCAGGGAAGGAGCATGGCAGCCACCTTCACGTCATGGTTTCTTCATGACTGACAGGGGAAAGGGAAGGGCTAGGCCTTTTTTCCTTCTCTCTCAAATTCATTGCTTGTAATCTTTTAACATTTCCAGGCTTTAGAAATATATTTCACCTAGGGATATTTTGGGTCTACATAAACTGGTAGAGATTAATAAAAAAAAAATGAGAAAACATAGCAAGTACTATCCTTAAGTACTTCTTTGAAATACAGTGCATCATAGGTTGTACTCACTAATAAATTTCTGAGAGGAAAAAACATCAATGAGGAGATCCTTTGCAAGTCTGACAGCACACTAGACTAAAATTATACCTTCTTAATGAATATAATGGTAGTTCTTAGCACTGCAGTAAAACCTTATTTGGACATGAAGAAAATTATAACATTAGGGAAAAGTAAACTCACCACTTCTTCGTGCCTGCATTTTCTCACATTAATTCCATTTATCTGCAATGAATATAAAAGCATAGTTTCATATACAATACTGCAAATTGACTTTATGCTTTGGTTTCACAGATAAAATGATAAAGTGCCTACCTGTAAAATTGCATCTCCAATAAAGAGTAGCCCTGAAAGTTCCGCTGTGAATGAACAGAAGAAATGATTATGCATTGACTATTTTCCACAAACAAATGAAGGTTTGTTTTTTAAATTAAAGCTTAAACTGATAAATGAAACAAAATTAAATGTTTTATGTGGTTAATGTCTTAAAACATCCATACAGAATGGAAATGTAAAACTATGATATGATCCAGCCCACTTTAATTATTGAATCACAAACAGGGATATTTCTATTTAGTTTATTTCAAAGCTGATAGTAGCTAAAAACTGATCCATTTTCCGAATGGGACATCAAATTTTCATAGGCACCTGTGATTTTTCTGTGACAAAGTTTTAGGCAAACATCCGTAAGCTATAAGCTATGAAAATGTCTCCAAGTTTACGTGTAAACATTATGTTGAGTTACTGATTTTAGTCACAGCAACAACTGTTTTATATCTTTATTATATTTTCTTAGATGAAGTTGGATAGGAAGGGTTAATTGAGCAAATTTGCAATAAGAACTTAAAAAAAGTACTCTATGGAATTGCTTTACTATATGTGACTTGTTATCATTGGTTTTGTTTTTGTGTTTAAACAATTGAAAAGCTATGCAGTCCTTAATTAATACATGGTCACATGGTTTATTGACTTCCTTTTTTTTTTCTTTCCTGTAAATCAAATCCTCAGATTCAGCCACTGACTTCCCGGTCATAGAGAAACAATAATAATTACTTTCAAAGAAGTATCTACTATATTACTACCTAATACCTTACCTCTTTGTTCTTTGGAGATTTTTGAAATGACAACTGGAATGTTATGCTCTGCTCCTCCCTAGAAAAAGAAAATTGCATATAATATTTTTAATATCAAAAAAGTAGTCTTTCGCCAAGACATTACATAGGTGCTGAATACATGTTAACCAGACACCCAGTGCAATTTAAATAAACTTAGATTTTTTCACTAAGAAGGTAGTGCTCCCACAAAGCCTATCTTTCTGTTTAGAATTTTGCTAAGATATCTAATAGTAAGTAATAACTGACTTTGAAAGCTTTTATTTCTCAAAAAGTTTGATAATGTTCTTAAACAGACATTCTCCTCCAAGTCCATTGTATGAATGCTATGCATGGAGGAATTCTTATTTGGATTCTAAACATCAGTTTATCACGTATTTTGATTCACTGGCTAAGTTATTCTAGATTACAACCAATTTCAGAGACCTTTCTGAATGCTAAGTGACCAGCAAGACCTTTGTCAGCACAAACAGTTAAACAAAATCAGAATGTGTGAATAGAAACAGGCTCATCTGCATTTCCTTAATTAGTATTAGATTCCTGTTGGTGTGAAAACACACACTATAAAGTTTATATAATAAAACACACTGCCAAGAATATGGCACATTTTTGTTATCGGACAAAAATGACCTAAGAAAAAATAAATTATTAAAATAGTCTCATAAAAACCTGTTTTATCACTGCAGATTTAAGAAGGTTAAAAACATTTGAAAATTCAAATAAGTATATTAGGGAATAAAATGTGTAAAAAGAAGCATAAGATAGTTACAAATACAATCAAAATTCTATTGGGTTTATTCATCTTTAAAATATGTAACCCCTCGACGTCTTTTTAAGGACAACAAATATTTTATAATGGACTTTTCCCCTTTGAATATTGATTTTTAAACCTGAAATAGAAGATAGACAATCATTTCTGAGGAAAAAAAAATAATATTCAACTGTTTCTTGGCCAGTGGAATCCTTTCTTGTACACAATAAGGAAACAAAATAAATATGATGATAAAACTGTTCTACTCAGGTTGACATTATCAACTATTATTTTTTTCTCACTATTTCCCACAATCCCAATGTCCATCCACCCCAGCCCTCACTAACTGCAGAGAAAAGCCACCTCCCCTGGGTAAAGTGGCTCCCAGCTGTGATTCTGTCTCTTTGTTGGTCTCTAAAAGCCCTGGTCCTGACTCAGATGATCCAGTCTCTCATCTGATCAAAGGGGTAGTGACTTGTGACTTGTGATAGAAATTCAGTTTTCGTCTTGCACAAAATAAACCCTGAACAAACGGTAGCTAAATCTAGACTCTAATGTACTCTATTTTTAAGGTTATTAGTGCAACCACAGGAAGTTAAACCGAGGACAGAACTAAACCACTCTAAGGCTCCTAGTATGTAGTAGGCCTGTACTTCCAATCATTTGTAATCATTTTATTCTTTTCTAACTTGCTATAGAATTAATAAATTTATTTATTACTTACCTTTTTCTTTCACATCCCTAATGAGAATGCTAGTTATAGGAGATTATGAAAGTGTTTGGTAGTTTGTTTTGTGCATGGACAAAACCCCAGGGCATGGAATAATGTAGTTTCAAATAAAGGTTTGAAGTAAAGATTGAAAATAATCTTTGAAATATAAATTAAAATAAAATTTCTAGGCCGAGCTTATGGTCACTGATAATGTCTAGGGATACTTGGAAATTGGAAAGGACATTGAGAATGCTACTATATTTTTTTCTTTGAAGAAAAAGCTACTTCACTAAAATCATCACCTTTATAAAGTTCCAGGTAGTCCAAAAAGTATGAAATAAATCAACCACAGTATTGCAAATCCATTAGTCTGGAGAAAGAACAACACAGTTTACTCCAATTTTCTCCCCATGGCTTCTGTACAAGTGTTTTTGCATTTTTTTCTCATTCCACTATAAAATTCAAAGATTTCCTTAATGTTTAAGTTTGTAACGCAAGTGGCAGAACAGAAAGAAACTTCATATGTAACTTTATATGTAAATTTTATCTATATTCAGGGCAAGCCAGGTTTAATTTTTTGCAAGGAGGGGTATTGTTTAGCTTTGAAACCAGGTAGTGAGAGCTCCAGGAGAATTTTTTAATTAATCTCAGAAAATGGCTTTATTGATTAGGTGGCAAATTTTGAAGCAAAACTCAGAAGATAAAATTGGAATTTAAAATTAATATACATGCATTTATTAAATGATAAGCTCTCATTGTGAGAAATCATGTGGGTCACTTTCTTCAAAACAAGTAATAAGCTTCCTATTGCACTTAAAATTAAAATCTAAATTGCTAACAATCCTTGTGGTGTGACCTCAACCTCCTGGCTCAGCACTTTGTCACTCTAAACACCAAAAGACATCCGTAATTACTCTCCTCTCTGTCTAGAATGTTTCTTCTTTCCTCTTGACCTTGTGAATTCCTTCCCATATTCGAGATTTAGGTAAAATGTCCACTTTCACTGTTTATTTACTTGAAGTAATTCTTTTTTATGTAGCAGTGGATGACGGCTGTGATTTATACTTATTTATACATAGAATCATCCACTCATTCTACTTTCCCACTAGAGTAAATGCCTGAGTTCAGGACAGGGCTTCTGTCCTCATCTTCTTCCCAAAATATCTCTGGTTCCGAGAATATGGTCCATGATCAGGGGTTGGAGAAACCATGCATTAACCAAGCAGTGTTATCTCAGTGGTAAGATAAGATTCAAGATTAGGGAAAGTGACAGAATATTCCGAAGTGCAGATTGTATATCAAAGCACATATTAATGTATCCTGCAATGTTCTTACAAAGCATAGTTGGTACTGCAGCTAGTAAAGGAACAAAGCTATGAAGCCCATTTAAACAATTTGAAGAACTCTGTACAGTTATTTTGCCAGATTCAATGTGAAATACCACTAAATCAAAGCTAGAATGCTTTTAGAGTATCAGAAATCTTGTTAATAAATATTTTCAGTTCAGTATTTTCACTATTGAAATCAATCAATCAATTGTATTCTGGACTCTGGGAAGAAAAACAGATGCCTAGACCTTGACATTGTTCTTAAATTCAGAGTAAGGGAAAGACATCCCAGACAGCCACAAAGTAGAGCAAAAGTAGATAAGTTTGCAAAAAATATACCCTGAAAGAACATGATCAAATATCATCACCTATCTGGATGCCATCATAATCTGCCAAAATCAATTTACATTGGTCGTAGCAAAAATTAATAGCCTTTTCCATTTACTGCATGATGACCTTCATATGAAAACCTAAGGAATGGAATCTGCAGAGACACAGAGTACATCAGTGCTTGCTCAGGGCTAAGGTGATGATGTACACTAGGGCCCAAGGATCGAGAGCAGAGCTACTTGGTGTTTCTTCTTGAGGAGATGAGACGGTCTAAAATTGTATCAGTGGTGATTCACATCTGTAACATATACTAAAATTTTTAGCTGCACACTTTAAATGATTAAACTTCCAGTGTATGAATTGTATCTCAAAAACATAGTTAGAAGAAACTAATCATCTTTGTCCAGTGGTTTTAACTGTTTCTTGGAAGTAAATCATAATCTTGAAATTAAGATGGACCATTTGGCGGTCACATTCTATTTTTATGTTGGTAAGGTATAAATTTATTTTTTTGGTGGAAACTAGTGAACTAGACTCAAGTAGAAGAATCCACGGACAGACTGGTGAGAAGTTTATACAAAGGTGTGCTTACTTACATTAACTGTTATTATTTGCCCAGAAATCACTAATAAATCTCAAAAGCAGAAAATTATTTATTCTACTATGAAGGGAAATTGTTACTTGTTAAATTTGATCCTACTAATACTTGACTCTAGACATTCAGAAATGACTGATCTTGGCCATTTTTATCTGTTTCAGTTTTAAATGAAACAAAATGTGAGTAGCTTAGTGGAAGCATGATTTGTGTTCCCACTAGAAAGTTTAGAGATAATTTAGTCTAGGTTTTATAAATATGAGCAGTAATATTAAAAGTAATAAGCAGATTATTAAGAGTCATCTTCTTTGGGTGAAGTTGAAGTCCAATTCTGCCACATACAACCATGGATAAATTACTTAACTTGTTAATCTATAAACTCATTTTCTCTGGAAGGAATAACAATAGTTATATATTTTGCTTGATAATGAAGCCAAATTAAATAGAATGTAAAGTATTTAGGTCTGAATATGGCACTTCATGTACAGGTCATAAATATTACCAGTTGTCCCTAGATGATAAGATAACTAATGGTAACAATGATTATAATTACATCTGTGAGGCTGAAAAGCTTATGCTCCCAAATAGAAATCAACCTTGATTAAATGCACTTACTTGATGAACATTGATAATTTATTGTTTACATAAACAAA